CCCATCCGGATGCTATCACATCCAAGGTTCACTGCGCCACCAGTATACTATATTATACTAGCTTACTATCCTGCCATTTTCGATCATTGTGTGGTGGTTAGGTTGGTATATGGTAAATCAGTATGACTGCTCCATTCATCAATCAATAGATCGATCATTCTTGAGGTTCATTTAAGTCAGTGACATAGCCCTCAAAGCCAGGTAGGTCTCTTGTAAATTCCAGGCAGTCAGTCATGTCTCTTGCTGAAGAACCCTCATATTCAGCCATTGACACCATCAGATCCATTTAATGACTCGTAGAGGCTTTTAGCGTGGGGACACTCAAACATGATTCAAGCAAGCTAGAAGCCAAACTGGAACTTCGTTCGCCCTGCCAAATCAACAATCCACCCTCTTGCCATCGCTGACGTCACGGGATCCAGTCTGCGATTGAAACCTGAAGCCAGCCCATAGTTAAGTATCTGTACTGCTTATGGAATAGCTACAAAGTAATCCACACTCCCCAAAGGAAAGTAATATCCTAAAACCCACCCCTCCCAATATCTAAATCTTAATCAGTACCTAAAATCATCATCCCCCAAAAAGATAAACCCCAAAAGTATAACCCGTAGCCATGAATGAAACCAGGGTAAGCAAGATAGATAGTTTGTTGTGTTGTTTGTTTCATCGTCAGTCTCAAAAACCAGACTGACGATCAAACTTACTACCCTATTCTACCTTCCATTCCCCCCACTTACTTACTTTTCATGAACCGGGGCGAAGTTACTGGAAACAGTAGCTTAGCGCTACAATATGGTTTTTTGGTTAGTATTTAGTAGTTAGGTTAAGCTCTGAAACACTCCCAGAAACGAGACAAAGACACAACGTACAACAAACACGTGGGGGGGCGTGAGAACTGCCTAGCAAAGGGGGGAAGAGGATTGTTTCAGGATTGAAGTTAAATTACTATGTATTATGCACTACTGCTTATGGTAGCTTGGATGATGGGATATAAAGATGACTTTCATTGTGTCATGAATGGTGATTGAGTACTGGATAAGTACAGTCGCTGATTTTACTAGAGTGAGGAAGGTTTTGTGGCATTGGCTGTATATAAATATAATACTGCTTCTCAGTAAGTCTAAATTGGAAGCATAGTGTACTAGTTATGAGACGGAGTTATCGTTTACTTTACAGTTGTTGTTGCGTCACGATATAGTACTACTCGAGGTGAGAGGGTGGTGTGGGATGGATGTGTTGTTGGAGGTAGTGTGTGTATGCTGGCAGGGAGTAGTAGTCGAATCTTCTTTGCTGCTGTGGTTGTCACTAGATACTTGTTTTTGACAAAGGCAAGGTGCAGCAGGTATTTAGTTGTTTATCTATTTGATTTAGGAAAAGTTTCTAGTGGAGTGTTGAGAGAATTGCAGATGTTCTGATGCTTATTGCTTTTGCCTTTTGTATGGTCCTGTGTCTATTGGTAATGTAACAGGGATCATAAGGGTTTTATTATGGTGCGTTAAGCAATTTCACTGCATATATATCGTGCCTGCCGTTCATCGTCATGATAAATACGATTATAGTATACATAAGTTTGTACTCTGTGCTCTGTGGGTGATGCCAATCTACCGTCCAACATACTTCAACTCCAACTTCCGCAAGGGGATATACGATAGGCTGGTAAAGACAAACGCCAGCTCATTGGCAATGTCTCCACCATCGGTACCGATCTTGCGCGCCAGCGCTCCAACATAATATGTTTCGTCCATGCCGACGATCCATCCGGCCGCACCGCACAGGAACGCCGTGAGACCGGCATACCCGACGGGCAGTTTCGACGGCGTGTTCCAGGCGTCGAGGTCGTAGTTGGCCAGGTTGCCGTTGCGGAAGAAGTAATGCTCGCAGAACAGAATGACAAAGAAGGAGGTGTTCCAGTAACCCAAGAGGGAGAGGAAGTTATCCAGGACAGTCAGCAGGTGGTCCCGGCCTGCGATACCAATGACAAGAATACAGGCGAATACGAGTAGCGTCCAGATGACTCGGGGGATCTTCTGGAATGGTTTGGCGAATAGTTGCGCAGAGAGCGATCCGGCATAGATGGCAATGCAGTTCATGCCGACTGTATGAGATTAGGAGCGGTTACGACTTGAAATCAGTGGATGTACTTACTACCACACAGCACCAAAAGCACCAAGAGGAATTTAGCAAATTTGCGAGGATAGATGATGGTCTGCAAGATCTCTCCGGTTCCTTCGTCATAGGCAGCAGCCCATTCTGGGTTCCCATCCAGAGCCGATGCGATGCACGCACCGAGCAACATTCCGACACAAGTGGGGAGTGAGATACCCAGGGTGGTGTAGATGAAGACCTTGACCTTGGAGGTGTTGACCGGGTAATGCACATAAAAGTCAGACACGATCGAGCACCACGATGCACTCGAGCCGTAGATAACGCTGATCAGGCTCAGAACGTTTCCAGACTTGGTCAACCCGGACACGGTCCCGGGATCTGACAGGCTGGCATGGTGAGCCGCTTCACCATAGACGATGATGAAGACGACGAAGGAAACCATCCAGATATATTGCTCAATCGTCATGACAGCCCTGAGACCGAAAAAGCTGAAACACAGACTGACGCAAGCAACGATGACGACTCCCACGACCATGGAGATGTGATTGTCCGAAACAGCGCGGAGAGCTTGACCACCGGTGATGCAACTGACAGAGGCCCAACCCAGCTGTTCGACGACATTCAGCGCCGCGATGATGGACGAAGGGTAGAAGCCAAAGGAGTATCTAGAGATGGCGACCTGACGAAGGCCAGTGCCGGGGCCCATTGTGGCACACCAACCCTAGTGAACCGATATGTAAGCCTTTAGACCGACCAGAAGCTGAATGCGCAGCATTGCGTCGCAGCGGAAAAAGAGATAGAGTAGAGAAAGTGGTATGCGAACCGTGAGAGCAGCGCCCAGAAACGTCGCGCATATCATGATGGCGATCGTCTGCCCCAAGGTCAAGCCAAACTCCTTCCCCATAAAGCCCGTGCTGAAACAACTGAGGTTCATAGTGGCCGAGGCCCAGATGAAGGCCATGGCGAGGGTGTTGGGCGGTTTGCGATCTTCGGGCAAGACTCGGTCGAGACTGTGGGACTCGACGCCCATTTTCCGATCCAACAGCTCTTCATAGTAGCGGATGCGGGCAAAGAAACCGCTAGGTTTGACCAGGGCATGTTCCTCCACCGAAGCCGTGGCCTGCTTCGGTTCGATGGGGTTGCCATCCTCAACGGTTTTGAAATCCATCCTGAAGAGGAGGAGGGGCAATGGGGGGGAGAAGGGGGGAGGGGGAGGAATTGCGGGGAGAAAGAAGCGGCAGAAGAGCAAGGGAGGAGGAGGAGAGAAAATAAGGGCTCACGAGACACCTCTTCTGCTCAACGTCTTCCCCAGAAAACAGGTGTTCGAGGCTGCAATATATTTGTAGGCGAAAATTGCCATTGCGCTTGAAGTCGGCGACGAATGGGGTATGCAGGCCTCGCTAGTCGTGCCAGATTGGTCGTTTTTTACCTTTGGCCCTCACAGAAGGTCGGCCTATTATTTGTGGAACAGGGTTTTCTTATCACAGATTGCCCCAGTCCGTGTCTTTTTAGTGCCAACCGGGCGAGACATGGTCAGATAACACTTGAAAACCTTTTCCCGCAAGTCGCGGTGCTCGACGATAATTACTGGGCGAGTTCGGCCAAGTCCGAAGTGTTTATATTGCTCCAGTGCTATTCGGGTTTGATAACAGGGTTCCCACTGGATTTTTCAGGGTTAGAGATCTCCATGCCAGAGAAGCATAGAAAAGCCTCGGATTTCTCTCTCCATGCGAACAGTTGCCATCGAAGCAGCATATCTCCGTTAAGGTTTCTGGTCCACTTCGGCCCAGCCTTTAGTCGCGCGTGCTTGTATTGCAGTGAGTGGGTCAGGGGATTTGCGTGAGAGCAGCAGTCAACCACTACTACTGTGATATGTTTCCTCCCTACTCGAATTATAAGGAATTGCTCGCAGTGGTAGATGGTGTTATTATCTTGGTTTTAGTATACTATGTTTTCTGGAATTTGGTGGGCGAAATTGGCATCCGCCCACACCGTATATGGTGGCCAAGCCTACAGATGGAGACCACCAGTATATGCCAAGGCAACAACAAAATCCTACTCAAACTTCAACATTTCTTGCTGTCCCGCGATACCACGTAGATGATTTGGAGGACACAAAGTGAACTGTGTAACCACCCTAACTTCCCAGGTGCTTGTTTTGCCACCCGCCAGCTGTCACTGCTTAGAGCCAAGGCAAGCCTGGACCAATCATTTTCCTGCTCCAGACTCATTCTCCCAAAAAAGAAACTCATCAATCAACTCTTGAGATAATGAATTATGCTGTTTCGATCTCCGGATGAAGGGATAAACAGCACTGTCTCCGTTAGGATGATTGGCTTAGTACTCAGCCGACCCGGTTAGATCAAAGATCATACATTGCGGTTGTTCTTGGGTTGTTCTAGAAGCAAGCGCCGTATACAGGTGTTTTGGTGCGGAACCAAACGGGTGCATTATACTCATTCACAGAGACATTGAGTCTCATATTGTCTCTTATTATAAGCTAGCTAGCTACCTCCCTCAAGTTTAGTCACCGCGTCCATGAAAACTAATGTCTAATGATGCACAATCAGTGGTCCGTTGACTTCCAAGCATGCGGTGACTCTCCCACTATACGGACCAGCTACCAGAATTGCAGATGATGCAACCCAGACTATTGTGGGAGAATCGAGCAAAGGACATGGATTCACTACCCAAGCGTGCATTGGAGGCGTCTCCGCTGGTGGATCAGACAGGCAGAACTCAGCCTCAACCTGCAAGCCGGGCGCACTATCCCATCACACCAATCACCTCAAATCGAGCCATGCCCATTGGGGGAATCGGGATCATCAGGAAAAATGGTGCTCGTTGGTGGTAAAGTTCATGATGGCATGGCCATAGTAGGTGACGGAATTGACGCAGGCAATCTTGTGTTGTTTTGGGTAATGATCGGTCAAGTCATGGCGGGTCAGATTGATGTCTTGCAGTTAACTGTAATCTATAAAAAACAAAGCACCAACAGGCACCCGTGAAGGGAAAGTAAAGCAAAGCAAATTGACGGTGGGTGTGGGATTTTCCAGAAAGTCCATAAGGTTGAGAGAGACGGCGGCTCCGCCCATCAGCCCGAAAGGGAATGACTTCCTCCCCCGGCCTTTCCAACTTTCCTCTCCGACCACTCGGGCTTGTTGTCTGTCCTCTTCTTCCTCTTCCTCTTCTTCCCTCCTCTCTTCTCTCTTCTCTCTTTCCCTTCCCCATCTCCAGATTCTCTCCGTGGCTATCGTCTCCCCTCTGGATTGTGTCAATTACATTGACCCCCTCCTCCTCCTCCTTCTTCTTCCTCTCCGTTCGCCTCTTCTCTCTCCCCCTCCGCTCACCCTTTCCCATCCTCCTTCTCCGCCTTTCCACTTTTAGTCTTTTGTTTCCTCTTCTCTCTCTCCCACTTTCCCCCCCTCACCTCATTTTCTCGGCTTAATCTTGGGACACACCTTCACCTCAAATACTTTCTTCGCATTTAGCCTCTGCCGGTAGCAATTGAGCTTTTCCCTTCTTGACTACATTTTTGCGGCCCCAGGCCATTTATTCTTTTTGGATCACTAGCTCAACAATCATTGGGTACTGTTGAACGTCTGTTAACAGCCAGCTATAATCTCCCATCAACTCGCATTACTTGTCGGTACGTCGGAGCACCTTCCAGACTATCAATTGGTCTCTTCTAACATCACCGGCACTCAGCAATAGTCTCCCCTCCGTCCCTCTCCGTTCGAGATCTTTCCCGAATCCACCGATTGTCCCGCTACCATGGCTTCCGAAGTGTCGAGTGTCAATGTCAACGGCGGTGCCAAGTCTCGGGCTGCCATGCTGGAAGAGCAGCATGCCCGTGATGAGGCGCACAAGGTTACCGTGGAAGATGTTGTCGATGAAGAGGATGTGAAGCACCCCCCTCCGTCTACCTCGGTGACCGAGGCCGAGTCCTCCACTCCGGCGCAGACCCCGGCCCCAACCGCCTCTCCAGCCCCCAAACCAGCTCCCAAGAAGTCACCTGCTCTTGATGTCCAGTCTGAGGAACTCTTCCCGGCTCTTGGAAGTGGTCCGAAGCCCAAGGTCCCCGCCGCCTCTGCTTGGGGTGCCCGCGGTTCCGCCGCTGCTGCCGTCGCCAACGGCGCTGCCAGCGGCGCACAGGCTGGTATGTTATACCCACTCCATTGTTTGAAAATCGCATCGTTATGCTGATTTATTTTCTGAACTAGCCCCCGGTGGTTTCGGTTCTGAGGTTCCCAGGATCATGAGTCTGCCCGGAAAGCACATGGAACAGCTCCGGTTGGCGCCTTCGCAGATGCTCCCTCGGGGCCAGCTCAAGAAGCCTCTGCGCGATATCCTGCGCGATATCTCTAGGCGATCCAAGGCCAATGTCGACATGCGCGGCGGACCCGGTGGCTCCATCATCTTCGAGGGTAAAGGCTCCGTGGATGCGGTCAGGCAGGCCCTGAAGGAAGTCGCTCAGCAGGTCGGATCCAAGGCATGTATTACCGTTGTCGAGGTTTGGGGTGGATTATCGACTAATGTCTTTCCATAGCAATCGGTTCGCGTTCCGATTCCTACATCCGCTCGGCCTCACATCATCGGACGCCAGGGTGCCGTCGTTCAAGACATCCAGCAACGGACAGGCGCTCGTGTGCAGGTACCTCGCGCCGAGGAATCTGCCCCTGGAGCGGACGATGACGACAGTGACACTATCGATGTCCTGATTGAGGGTGATGCTGTTGCGGCCGAGATGGCTCGTCGGGAGATTGAAGCGATCGTCAAGGAGCGCGCCTCCAACATGAGCCTGCGCCTCAAATCCGTCCCGCCGGAGTTCTTCCCCTTCATCGCCGGTGCTCACAATGCCAACCTCAAGGAAATCGAGGAGCGTACCAAGGCGCAAGTGCATATCCCCCGATACGACACCTGGCAGAGCCAGCCTCCGCCTCAGGAGGCTGATCCGGGTCACGTCCAGTTCGTGCCGGTTCCCGAGAAGCACATCCACATCTCTGGTGAGCGTGCGGCCGCTCAAGAAGCTCGCGCGGAAATTGAGAGACTTGCCGCCGACCTGCAACGCCAGCTCACGCTTCGCCAGCTCGCCATCAACCGTGGCCAGCATCAGTTCATCCTTGGCGACAATGCCGATGCTCTGCACGAATTCCTTGCTGACACTGGCTGTGCCATTGTCCTGCCTCCTGCATCCGACGAGAGCGAATTCCTCACCATCACGGGTCCGCTTGACTGCATCGAGAATGGTATCAACCGGGCCATGGATCTTGCCACCAGCATGCAGATGGCAAGCATTGACCTCTCTCGTCAGCACCCCGGTGCTCCCATGGGTCCCCACGCCCATGCTCGTGCCCTGACCCAGTACCTTAGACAGCGTCAAATCATCAAGGAGCTGGAGAGAATGTATGACGCACGGATCGCCCTTCCACCCAGCTCGGACGGCCCTGTGACCTGGGAGGTCTACTCTAGAGATGGCAAGAACACCATTCGCGCAAGATCCGATATCATGAACTTGGTCCAGGCTCACCCTCCTACGAGACTTCGTAGCCTCGCGGTCGACCCCTACTTCCACCCTTACCTGCGCTCTCGGAGCATTCCCAAGTTGCGGAGTGACTATGGCGTTCACCTTCTTGTGCCTGATGAGCTTGATAGCTCCGACGTGGTCTTGGTGTATGAAGGTCCTTCCGCTTCTGCTGCTCAGGTCGAGATTCCTCGTCAGAGACCTTCTGCCGCTGAACTTGCGACCTTCGAAAAGACCCTCCAGGAAGCTCAAGAGTATCTTCTGAGCACTCTCGGTGATCAGAACGATGTCGTGGCGACGTCTGTGAACGTGCCCAGCAAGTACCAGGACAAGGTTCGCAAGTTCATCGCCCGTCAACAGGAAGCGAAGAGTGAGGACGAGATCCCTGTTCGCGCCATTGTCGGAGATGGACGTAACCGCAACGAGTCCGAGGTTGCACTTCGTGGACCCTCCCGTCTGGTGGAGGATCTTGCTACGAAGATCCAGGCGTTTGTTGTGGAGCAGGAGAAGGATGACCTCGAAAGAGGATACACCACATCTTTCGACTTCCCCCAGAAGTATGCCAACTTCCTGATTGGCAAGCGCGGTGAGAACATCAACAAGCTCCGTGACGAATTTGATGTCGACATCAAGGTCGAGGGGGGTAAGGTTGAGGTCAAAGGACCCAAGGCCAAGGCCGATGCTGCCAAGGCTAGAATCATCAACCTGGGCAAGAAATTGGAGGATGAGACCACTCATGTTCTGAAGGTTCCTGCCCAGTATCATCGGGAATTGATTGGCCAGAAGGGAAACCAGGTCAACAAATTGCAGGACCGCTACTCTGTCCGTGTGCAGTTCCCACGTGCTGCCGTGGCTGCTACGACCAGCGATGACCAGTCCGTCGCCGAGACTTCTAGCGACGCAGGTGGCTCTCGCCCCAACCGCCCTCAGCAGGCGCTGGATGAGGTTATAGTCAAGGGTCCCAGCAAGGGTGCTGATGCTGCACGCGATGAAATCCTTAGCTTGCTTCAGTGGGTGATTGACCACTCCTACACGGCCACAGTGTCTGTCGCTCAAGCGCAAATCCCCTCCCTGATTGGCCAGCGCGGTCGTGAGATGGACAAGCTCCGCGCCGACACCGAGGCCCAGATTGATGTTCCGGGAGTCAACGATGCTCCGGATGAGTCGGGCCGTGTGCAGATCAAGATCAGAGGCACCAAGAAGCAGGTTGAGGAGGCAAAGAAGATCCTGGAGCAGCGGTCTAAGGAATTCGACTCCATCGTTACGAAGACGATTGACGTGGACAAGAAGTACCACAAGTCGCTCATTGGTGGTGGTGGTGAGTAATCTGTGCCCATTCTTACCCAGGTAGCATGAGTAACTAACAGTTGCGCAGGTGCCAACATCCGCAAGATCGTCGCCGAGGCTGGTGGCCCCACCGATGGCAGTGCTTCCCGCATGGTCAAGTTCCCTCGTCCCGAGAGCAGTGACTCGGCCATCAAACTTGAAGGAAATGGCCAGGTGGTTGAAAAGATCATCGCTGCGATCCAGGACTTTGTCAAGGAGCGTGAGGATCAGGTGACCACGACCGTTGAGGTTCCTCCGTCTCAGCATCGTCTGCTCATTGGCCGTGGAGGTGAGACCCGGCGCGGCATTGAGTCCAAGTTCAACATCACGCTCGACATTCCTAAGCAGGGATCCGGACGCTCGGACATTAAGCTGAAGGGACCCAGCAACGCAGTCGCGGAGGCTAAGGAGCACATTGAGTCCATGCTCAAGGATCAGCAGGGCGAGACGGTGGAAGTGCCCCGGAACCTGCACCATGCTATTTCTGAGAATGGCTCTTTCTTCCGTCGCCTGCGCAACGACTACCGCGTTACCGTGGACCATGCCGGGCAGCAGGTGCCTCCCAAGCCTGCCTCCGAGGACTCCCGCGGTGCAGTCAACGGTTCCTCTTCTCTCCCCTTGATCACAGATGAGCCTAGCGAAGCCGTGGAGGCTCATTCATGGAAGATCGTGGACAACAGCCCGGCCGCTGCCGATCCCTCCGAACCGGCGACCATCCCGTGGGTGCTGTCGGGAACCAGCGACAATGTCGCCAAGGCCAAGTCGGCCCTGGAGAAGGCTATCGCCAATGCTTCCCAGCAATCTGCTACTGGCTACCTCATCCTGCCTGATCCGAAGACTTACCGCTTTGTCGTCGGCCAGGGTGGTAGCCAGATCAACGCGATCCGCAAGCAGACTGGCTGCCGGATCAATGTGCCCAAGGACCAAGCCAAGGGTGAGGCGATCGAGATCAAGGGAAGCAAGGAAGGCCTGGAAGAGGCCAAGGATATGATCCTGGAGGCTGTCCGCGCTGGCTTGAGCGGCAACTCCCGGTCATAAGGTGGGGGAAGGCCCTTAGGTGATTCCACATACATCCAGAGTGATATATGAGAATCGTCGAGCGACCATGATATCTTTTTTTTCCCTATAATTTTCTTTCCTTCTATCTTTGTCTTATGTGCTCTCTCTCTCACCAAAAGAAGACTGTGTTATACATCTACTACATGCATTTGCTGGGCGGTTGACGAATTGCATAACCTGCCTTGAATATCCTGTGATTAGGCCTCACTCCTCTTATAAATATTATTATATGCATTACATAATTGTTCGAATATAAGCCTACAATATTACTGGGTATACTACTAGATTTATTGTCATTGTAGAAACAATTGTATATGCAGAAGTCAGAATTGAATCAAGCTGAACCCAATCAGCTAGCATGTTTAAGTATGTTTCAGATTTCATGAATCTATGACAGCTCTTTCTGGGCTACCGAATCACGAAAAGTGGACAGCATAAGCATCCGTGACATTGCACTCTAATTGGAACGAGAACAGGGGGGCAAATCAATAAAAAAGGGTATCTGCATTGGGTATCACCCAACAGCCCCCTAATGCTGACAAAAAAGGTAGCAACAGGTAACTAGCCGAAATCGACCGGTCCAAGAAGAAATGACCGTTTGCCAAACAGGGGGCCAAAATGTGGATCACGGATCAAACGAAGAGGGGGATGGGAAAGGCTTTCAGTTCATATGGGATTCATCTCTTTTTGTTTAAGTTTATTAATTATAATAAGAAAAGAAAATAAAAAGGGATATCGTTTACTGCGTCTCAGCGGCGGAAGCATTCTGGAGGTATTGGTAGGCGAAGTAGGCGATCAGACCACCGACCAGGACGATGCCGTAGAGACCGACACCCATGCCGGCGCTGTCGCCGGAGCCCGAGGGACCGGAGGAAGACTGGGGTTGAGAGCGAGGAGCAGGGTCACCGGGCTGAGGGAATTGTGTTAATGTGAGTGAACGACTTGTCTTGCGAGTTGGCTTTTTGTCGTCTGACGTACCATGCGCTTCAGCTTACCGACCAGGAGACCGTCCAGGATCTCACGGGCCTCGTCACTGTGTCCGACATCTTCGAAGGCCTCGGTGCCGTCCTGGCCACCGACGTCGAGGAGGACTTCCTCACCACCACTGTTGTTGAGGGCAGATTGTGTTAGCTTGTTTTTACTTCTTTGATCCGACGGAGTGTTTCCTTGCGCGATTTGTCTCATTGCTTTTTTGAGGGGTAGAGGGCAAGTATGACCTCTGAGGCGAGGGGGGGTGAGAGGCTCAATTGGGAAAGGATGTGCATGTGGAAAAAGGACGGTGATGAACGTACGGGTGCTCATCGACGAAGGAAGTGCAGTCGTAGACCTTGTCGTGGATGACCATGTAAAGGTCCTTCTTGGTGTTGTGAGCGCTAACCTCCTGGAAGGTGAATTCCTTTGCGTCGGCCATGGTTGTGGTAGTAAAGTTGTTCTAGCTGTGTGAATAAAGAATGTGAAAGTCAGCGACTGACAAAGCCAAGGAGATTGATCGGTGAGAGCAGAGGAAGGGCTTAGGTGATAAGCAGGGGATTTCGGGGACAGTCCCAGGACAGTTCCATGATCGGAATACTGTCCATGGATCTTGACTTCATGCGATATGGTATAGAGCGAAGTGACAATGCGCGAGTAACAATTCCAGAAGCGTAAGCCACCCCCGAGTCCCGCCTGTCTGGAGGGTTTGTACCTCGGAATGTAGAAGACACCAGATTCGCAAGGGAGAAGAAATGCGATAGGGCGGAGACTCACCGAAGATTCAACAAGAATGAGATCAAAGGTACGGAGGTACAAAGGCTCAAAAGAGGCAGATCACAGAAGACGATCTAGACGAGAGAAGAATAGAGAGACGAGAGATGAACCCGAGGAAGGAAAGAAAGAGGGAGAGAAAGAGAAAGAGAGAAGAGGAGAAGAAGGAAGAGGAGGAGCGAGAAGGAAGCCGAGCAGATGGGAAAGACTGTCGGTTCCTTAGGCAGCCCCCCTGTGCGCCTGTGATTCGACAGCGACTCCGCCTTCCAACTAAATGGGCCTCCAGGAACATTATTCCAATCCCCAAACACAGGAGCCGTGGCTGCCATCCGGGCCACCTGGGGATTTACCGGGTTGCCGGCAGCCTACTCCCTAGTAGTATTCACATTTCACCGATTATCACTACTACTTGCCTACTGTCAAATGCTATCTTCTACACTCCATACTCCGATCGGACTCACTGCACTCAATTCTCAACCTGTTCCCAAACAGGCAATCCTGAAAAGTGGCCTGATAGGGATGGCCTCTTCTCCGCCAATGACAGCAGGCTTATTCCCAGCTTAGTCAGTGTCACTCATGCGCTAGTCCTGATGGGGCCGAGTGACTAGAACGGGCCGTCGATCAATAATCAAAAATTATGCTGGTGGATTAGTGAATTGATGCTGTTTGTCTAGATGTTGCATATTGGTTTTAGATGTTGTCTTGGTCAGTTCAGGATATTTTTACCTGATTTGGTTGTATGTGTTGTAACTGCCTATACTACTACAGTAGTTCTCTCTGCCCCTCTCCTCCGTTATCAGATGGTTGTCATCGATTCTTTTCCAATTATTCTAGAAAACAAAAAACGAAGATTAGCCTATCTCGCTCCACTGAAAATCAAAACCTCGGAATAACCTCCGCGGGGGGAGCAAGCTACACAAAAGATGTAATTTGGGTGACCTTTTTCCGGTGACTGACTTAGTTGCCTACCGTCTGCTCCACCCTCCACCACCTTATTGTGGTGTGACAGCCATTCCCAGTAAAATTCACAATTCTAGATGGTATTTTACAATTCCGCGATACTTTTATAATCCGCTATTTATTACTTCATACATATTTGTAGAATAATATCATTCATCATAGTATATACACCCAAGCTCTATCGATATGGTATATTAAATACATGATAAAAACTAGTCACCTATGTAATGATCATAATAATTCAATAAGATAAACTCTGAAACCAAATTCCGTAATTCCGCCCATCTACTACGTATATCTACATAAATCCCGACCCTACGATCCCTCGATAGCCGTAACCTCGGGGAGGGGATCTGGTCGGGTAGCGCCGTCGGGATTAACTGCCCCAGTTGGTCACCTCATTCTTTCCCCGCCTTTCCTTCCCGCGCGGAATGTTACTCCTCCTTGGGAGAATATCCATACTCGAGTATCTTCCGTGTCCTCCGTAGTGGATATCTAGTAGATAGGGAACTTCTGTCTTATGGTTCGGCTATATTGTGGGGTTCTAGAATGTTCATCATCAGATAGTGGCCAAGAAGTATTCAATGCTGTCTATCTTCGGTAAGTAGTAGCTAGAAACTAAAATATCTATACATCCCATATCGCTTAAGGAAAACTAAGTGAAATAGGTAATCAATGAGGGAAATAAATCAATGGCCCAGCCAGCCAGCCCATTCCATGTCAACATGTCTTGCTCAAATAGGTATGGTTGATGATGCAAATAAAGAAACAAAATAGCAAAGGATATATAAGTAAGTTCGTTCCATGCCGGAAATCAAATTCATCCCTCATGCAAGTCCGTGTCATCGTCTCCCATGGCAATCGCAAAATATGATCAGAAAGAAAAAGAAACCCCGGGTATATGAGAAGACATCACCTGTCCCAGTGCAACTCTTACCCATGCCAAAGCGGAATCAACGCTACATCATAGTCCGTTCCCTAACCACCAGACAGGGGCGGGCCGTGAGGGGAGGAACAAAGAAAAAGGAAAAGAAAATGAGACCGTTATATAAGGAAGACGTCCCAAGCCGTCTCTCTGCCCCTTTACTTGGCGGGCACCCGCTCGTAGAAGACAATATAGGCTTGTTCGTTCTGCAGCCGGTCTTTCGATCGCAAATCGCGCGGGTTGAAATCGGTCACCCGCTCGTCATCGAATCGTCGCCAGCATTGTCGCTGCGCATCTCGCACCAGAGAGATGTAATGCCCGCTGCCCATCGAGGATCCGATATGCCGCAAGACTCCGTACGCATCGTACGTGAACGGAGGCACCGTCGCCGCGATCGGGTCGTGGGGTAATCCGTTGGTCTGCCCCTGATTATATGCCGAGAAGACAAAGTCATCCATCCGGAGTCCGTGCAAAGGGAAGTCGATAGGCGTATGGATCTTCCGTGCAGTCTGGGTCTTCGACGCCGAGAACCGCTTGAAATGGACGACCAAGATCTGCGGCGCCCGCGTGATAATGATCTGTTTGGTGGCCACTCGTTCGCACTTGCAGTACGGACATTTCCACACCTCATCCCCACTCAGCATCTCCTCTTGGCAATAACTGCGAAGGCATTGATAAATGTCGCCCGTGCCCGACGATGGAATTTCGACACTGATGCTGTAGAATGCCTCATACGTGGTTGATGTCCGCTTACAGGTGGTGCAGCGTAGCCGGCTCGCGTGCTGGCCTGCAAAGAGCGATGAAATGAACGACTCTTCGCGATGACAGTAGCGATCCCACTCAATCTTGGAAACCTTGGGAACGGGCATTCTCTCGCGCTGCATCTCTTCCTCGAAAGTCAAGGGTCTGAGAGGCGTCCGCTGCCAATTAATGTTGAGGTCCTCGTGCAAACAGTCGACGACAAAGTCGAAGAATTCCTTGGCATCCTGCTGGCGATCGATAGCCCATTCTTGATTCAGTCGTCCGCAAAAATTCCGAAAGGAGGTCGGCATAATCACTTCCACGTCATTCTTCCAGAGTGACCGGATCAGATTCGCGAAAAGCCCCGGCATAACGCCTTGGGAGCCCTTCCAGTTCTTTTGTACATAGTACCGAAACCGATTGTCGATGAAGAACTTGCTCAACACCACTGTGGCGCTCAAACACTGAAGGGTAGAGTTCATGTAACAGGTCACGCCAAAATTAGTCAAGCCAGTCCGTGGGAGCTTCAGACGGTTAAGCATCGAGCTTGGTGTGTAGAGAGCTGTTTTGGTGGCAGAGTTCTGTCGCTCCAACGTAGGTTGTATTTGCCGGCCGTCTGAAACGCCACTATAACTGGGCCGTGGGACTGCAGGCGGAGGCCTCGATGGAGCAACAGGAACAGGTGCAGCATAGTTGGGCGCCGGTGTCCCCGCTGGCCGAACATGGGGCGTCACCATTGACTGCTGGATTGCATGTGGTTCTGGGAAGCGCCGCAGGAAATCCTCATATGTGTGCACAAAGGGAGAGACAGGTGGCTCTTCAGCACCTTCCGGTTCTTCCGTGAGTGCCTCCTCCTCGACATAGGTCCCGGGGTCGATTTCTTCCGTCTTAGATTTTTCCATCCACTCTGTGAGCTCTTGAGGATTCAGTGGCTTATATTCGCGCAATCTTCTCTTCCTCACTTCCAAGCTAGAATTGGCACTGACGATAGTAGGCACTCTTCCTAGCGGTCGCCCTGGCCTTCTGACAGGCCTCTTTGCTTGCAAAGATCCCATCACAGCAGCAGTGGAGGATGTAGCAAGAGATTGCTGGCCAACTAGATCGATCCATGCGTCAAGGCCGCCAAGCAGTAGTGCAGGAGGTCGTCCATCTTTCAATGGCTTATATGCGTTGAACTCGTAAAGCGTGTCATACAGGGCTCGAAGATGAGGAGCCGTAGTGCCTACAGGAGATCCGGCTAGATAACTGACCGAGGCCGTTCCCTGGTCATAATAAACGACCATGTCATACTCGTTGCGCCGCTCGAATAATGACTGCTCATGTTCCGGCGACACCACCAGGCGTTCTTCGAGCTCCTCCGCTGACACATTCTCCTTTAATGCCACCGGTTCAATGCAAAGGATCGAGGAGGCATAGATGTGGCCACTGTCGTACTGGTCCCGGAAACGCACGTCAATCAATAGAGTGTTGTATTTGCGCATATACTCCAGCAGCTTCTGGGGCTCAATTGTGGTGCTGTGAGGGAGATCTGCACTACTGCTTTTGACCTCCTTCGCCTGGTGTACACCGTTCGGAGTTTGCGACCTGTAAGGATTGTCGTCGAAGCCATCATGGCTAAGACTACTGCGAGAAGATGACGTAATTAGGGAATACCGTGGGTTGACGGGACGAGAGCTTTCAACTGAGGTCCTGGGTGGGTTTGAGGGTCCTTGTGAAGGCACTGTCCAGATCGGGCTGTAAGTTGGATCGGGAGCACGAGGAAGAGATGTATTAAGGGGCACTTTCGGAGGTATAGTAGGTACGCTATGGGAGGAACCCATACTACGGGGCCCTAGAGGCCGCCGCGGAGGTACCCCTTGAGACATTTGGGACGATGGTCGAGAAGGGAGATCCTGAGTCGGGGGTGTACCGTTTTGGCCATTGGACATAGAACCTACATCAGATGGAGTAGGCGGCGACATTTTTAGTTTTGCGAATCTCTCAGCAAGTGCATCCCCAGCAGGACTCGAAAAACGATTCATCTTCGCATTTGCTTGGGCTGATCGTTGGAATTGCGTGGGGCTAGGCATCCGCAAAGAGTTGTTGCCAGCGTCAACAGGGCGACCTCTTGGGCCCGGACTCTGCCCAAGTTCAGGAGACACCACTTGTGATCTTGGTCGTGGAGGGTTCGACCGAGACACCCCACCAGGCTGCACGTTGCTCAGCAAATTGTTCTCCAGTATTTGTTGTTTGATATCATCCATTGTCCCTTGCTTCATCCGCACAGCCTGTCACCATCAGATTAGCCACATTGTACGAATATTAGACATCACGACTTGTCACAGCACTCGATGTGCTTTGGGAAGCCACGGCATACCATCATCAACTCCCCGAATCGTTTGTACCATCCTGGACGTTGGCTGGCAGTGGCTCGGTAGTCAGGGTGATTAGGTATTAGATTTATGGTGATCTCCGACGCTCGCAGGTAATGCACATAAGCCCGATCCAGTTGATCGGTGTCGGCAAGCTCACGGGCTCGATCTATGGCCACTTGCGCTCGCTCCAGCAGAACGCTTAGCTGTACGGAAAGCGGGTCAGTCATCCGCAACGTCACCCGTTAAGCGCATAGGAAATGGGAACTAACCGACGTATTGTCGTTTAGATCAAGCGCTGCTGCTTCATCTTGGAGATCCTTAATATTGGGGAATCGAGCTGGTTGAGACCCGGCGGGGGACGCATAACTGTTGTTGGCCTGATATGATCCTAGTCCGGCGGCGATTGACTTCCCGCCCGGCTGCATACCACCGAGGGACTGCGGGCGGCGGGGAGCGTTATCCCACGGTGCAAAGTCTGGAGGAGAGGGTAGGGCCGCTGCATCTGGGGACATTATATTATATCACAGCGATGAAAGCCGAATACCAGCACATGACCTGGAGGACGGCTTCGTAGGACACGCGGCGAGGGGCACTCTGGTCAAACTCGGGTTCGGAAATCGAAGGGGACTGGCTGGAAGGATAACGGGGAAGTCGGAGAGGAAAAGACCGATGGCGACCGCAATGACAGACAGGCCCAGGCAGAGAGAGTTGGAAGAAACATGCAAGAAAGAGAGAGCGCAGGACCTCAACGAGGGGAGAATCGGACAACTGCCAGGCCAGATAGGCAGCCAACGTTGCGGGATGGAACTGGATGAATTGGGATGAATGTTTCTGGGGTAAGTCGGTATGTAATGCGCCGGTATCGTCATGGTGGTGTTACTCACCGCCCGGCCTATGACGCCACTGCTTGACCCTGGCTGCCTGGGGCCGCCTGCTGACTCATGATGCCCGACCAATGGCGGGGCCACATTGTTGCCTACTGCATTAGGTAAGATGGTACCTCCCGCCATCATTGCTCGTTACTGTTATCGCTTCGATCTGCCTGGAGCTTGCTGTCGACTCCCCTTCTTTCGCCCTTGACTTTCCAACTCAGGTCTGTTCCTGAAGCAACCCGGGTCGTGGTTCTGGTCATCTCTCTAGTTTCACCTCTCCCTCTACTCTACCGACGAGGACTGTACCCAGCAGCCCCTCCCTTCCCCTTGTCGCTGCTACCCAACGTCATAGCGATCCTGGGCTCCGCCATCGTCAGATTATCATCCATTGCGCACTGTCAACATGGCGGGGTGGTTCTCTTCAACGTCACCGATCGAGGATCAGGTGGAGAAGGCCACCGCATCTTCCCTGTATGTCTCCTTCTCTTCCCATGTCTTATCTCGACCGTGATCGGCCTGTAAACGGCCCCCATCCAGTCAACCACCAACTGACTTCTAACAATTGGCGCAGAGAGGACATTGCGCTTAACTTAGAGATCTCCGACCTTATCCGATCGAAGGGTGTCCAGCCCAAAGATGCTATGAGATGCTTGAAACGCCGGTTAGAAAACAAAAACCCAAACATACAGCTGGCGACATTGAAGGTTGGCTACTCGACTTCGTTGCAACGATATTTCCATGCTGACGGGTGGTTTCCCATGCAGTTAACAGACACATGCGTGAAGAATGGCGGTACTCACTTCTTGGCGGAGATTGCGTCGCGCGAATTCATGGATAATCTTGTTTCGCTTCTCAAGACCGAGGGTGCTCCGCTAAATTCCGACGTGAAGGCCAAAATGTTAGAATTGATTCAGGACTGGGCTATGGCAGCCCAGGGCCGTATGGACCTGAGCTACGTCGGCGAAACATACAGGAGGCTGCAAGACGAAGGCTTCCGATTTCCCCCCAAGACCCAGATTAGCGGAAGCATGCTGGAAAGCAGTGCGGTGAGTTGCTTATGCTGCAGTACCTTTCCCTTCCTGATGCTAACATTCGAATTGCGCAAGCCTCCTGAGTGGATCGACTCCGATGTCTGCATGCGCTGCCGTACTCCCTTCAGCTTCATGAACCGCAAACACCACTGTCGCAACTGCGGGAGTGTCTTCGATGCCCAATGTTCCAGCAAAACCCTGCCCCTACCTCATCTCGGAATCCTGCAGCCTGTTCGAGTGGACGATGGCTGTTATGCCAAGTTGACTTCCAAAGCCCTTGCGCCCAGCGGCCTTTCAGACCGAGCATCATTCAAGAACAACTCTATAACCAAATCCAGTGTGATGGAGCCTCGTGGAGGTAGAGCTGAAGGGGGGTTCGATGATGATCTGCGCCGGGCGCTACAGATGAGCTTAGAGGAGGCGCAGAACAAAGGCTCAAGTGGTTATGTTCCACAGAGTACGGTCCAGCAGCCACCGAGAGCACCTGCTCAACCTGCCGTAGAAGAGGAGGAGGATGCGGATCTGAAGGCTGCTATCGAAGCGTCTCTGCGTGACATGGAGGAGCACAAGCAGAAGCATGCGGCCGCTTTGAAGAACACATCGTCTGCAGACACACAGTCCCGCCAAACACCAAGTGCAACCCCGTTGCCAAAGAACTCCTACGAACTCAGCCCAGTCGAGGTAGAGAACATTCATCTTTTCGCTGCTCTGGTCGACCGACTACAACACCAGCCTCCGGGCACCATACTCCGCGAACCTCAGATCCAGGAACTCTACGAAAGTATTGGCGCGCTCCGCCCCAAATTGGCACGGAGCTATGGGGAGACCATGAGCAAACATGGTAAGCCGTTACCATGGTTTTCATTCATTCCTGGGTGAAAGAGTCTTGATGGCTAACACATGAGATACAGACACTCTCCTTGACCTACACGCCAAACTCTCGACGGTTGTCCGATACTATGATCGCATGCTTGAGGAACGGCTATCCAGCGCTTACGCACACCACTCTCTAGGGTACAGCCCGGTCCCCGGCGGATCGCCATACCCCAACATCTACCCGCCCATGCCCGCCCAGGCGCCTGATGGGAAGACTGGAACCGAAAGCTTCTACTATGGGAATCCGATCGCCGAGAGTCACCAGGCTCCGACAGCGCCTTACCCGCAGCCTCAACCTGAAAGGGAGCTGCATGAGAGAGTTGGGACACGTAGTGGTACCATGAGCCCTAGTGTCTACGCGCATCCATCACAGCCCATCTCACCCAGTGTACCCTGGAACGGCAGTGCTCATGCTGTTGCCTCTCCACAACCTTCGAGTGCCAGTATGGCTTACCCCAGCAACCCTTCGGCTTATGCGGGGCCGGCCGGTCCGACGCAGTTCTACACCTCTCCACCACACGTGGAATCCGATGTCAAACCGGCGCAGCACGCCCGACCAATGGAGCCAGACATGCCTTATCAGGGCTCACCGGTGATGCAACGGGAGACACTGTATCAACCGTCGGCACCGTCAGCCCCAGATCTCCCGGCCGACCAAGGACCGGCTTCAGGCTACGGGCTTCAGCGGCAGCCAACGGACCCGTCTGCTGCATTGTTTTATGCTCCGCAGCCTCCTCAGGGGCACCCCTATCCGGCATACCCTCAAGGCGCGCCGGTACATCCTGGCCAGGCTGGGGGGGATGTCTCTCCCGTGGGGGTGACGCCGGCTCATGCACCGTATCAACAGCCCACGCCATCTCGGCCACCGGTAGAAGAAAGTCTGATTGAGCTGTAGAAGCAAGGGGTATGCAGCGGGGGGTTGTGGAGATGAGGGGGAGAGGGGCGCATTCCGATGCTTGTTTTTGTTGCTTATACTTCCCTAGTCTTTTGTCACCGTGATACCAAAACATTGGTTGTTTGCAAGCCACGAAATTGTATGTACAGATGTCACAAATCCTGTGGATGGAAGACTACTTTCGGAGTTCTTTAGTGTAATATTAGTTGTAGAGGTTGTAAAAGTACATGGATCGTGTTAGGAGGAATTATCCGGGAAGATTCAATGGAAGGGAGATAAGAACCCAAAAGAGCTAGATGGGGATGGGGAAATGCCTCGTGGAGTAAGTTGCTGGCGATCGCCGGTCTCAGTGGCAAATGGAAATGGAAAAATACAGCAATAATGGATACTCGGTCTGGACTCGGTATGGAAACGGGAACGGGGAAAGGTATTATTCAGTCATTCATTCGTTTTCCATTCCGGATTCCATCTTCGATCTTCAATCTTCAATCTTCCATCATCTTTCCCTCTCCCTTCTCCTCGATCTGGGGGGAATTTGATTGTCGACTGCCTCCTACTCCTCAATGTCATAGACTACTACTTGCCAGTGTGTCTTTCCTTTGCTCGTTTCCATCCATACTTTATATACATAGTCTACATCCACTACCTCTCTCTCTCTCCTTTCTCCCTCAAGATCTCTCCTAACTTTACTCTTCTTTCTCCCTCTCTGTGATTTTACCCGAAACTCCCTCCCCTCCACATCTCCGTCTTTTCTTCAGCTTCCTTGTTCCCGGAACTCCGACGTTACTTTTTACTGGTGTAACCCATTTCGCGTCAGCCACCAATTGCTTCTTCCCCCCCACGCTTTCCCAGCATCCTCACATCTCTGCTGGAAAGACAATCGCTCTTTGCTTTTCCCTACTTAATTATCTGCAGCTCTCTTTCTGGAGATCCGGCTGTTGTGAGACCCAGTGACTCTTAAGTTACTTATACTGCTTGACCTGGGCTGGTCCTCTAATACTGCAGAAAGTCCTACCAATCGCTTTGATCGCTATTCCTCCGACGTGCTGCTCCTCGCCCGATCCGGCGCTGATTACCCCCCCTCCTCTCTCCTCTTCTCGCCGGTGTGCCCTTTCCCCTCTCAGTCGGGACGCCCTTGCTTTTTTCTTGGTATTACTCGCCTTGCCTGTGATTTCTTATTCCCGCCATGCCGACCTCCAACACTTCCTCCCCAGTTAAGCGCCCGGGGCTGGGCCGCCGCGCTGTTTCCTCTCACGCGGTCGTCACGCGCTCCTCCTCTTCAACTACCACCATCTCCCAAGGCGAGCTCTCTCACTCTCACTCCTCAAACCCTCAGAAGCTTCCTCATCGCCCTCATCGCCCCCATTTGGTCGGCGGTGGTCATCGCAATCATCACCGCAATCCTTCCTTCGGAAAGAACCTGAATAAGCTACAGAGACACCAGTCCTCCCACCAGATCGGTACTACTACAACGACGACGGAAGGTCCCGCTCGCGTGCATCAGCGCAAGAAGTCCGCACCCGCAACACCCGCTGCAAGCCCCCGGGGGCATCACGTCCGCTGGGATGGGGTGTTGGACGAACCACACCGCAGCACCGGTTCGATGAAAAAGAATTATTCGAGCCCGGCTCTCCGACGCAATACCTCTGGTGTTTTGGGGAAGAAAGCTCTGGTCACCGACCGCCCTCACTCGAGCTCCGGAAAGAAGAAGACCGTGGGCTTTGAGCTGGCAGATTCCGACAACGACGACGCTGACTGGGAAGATACCACTCAGTCACCTGAAAGTACCCGGCGCAGCTCGGTCGCACAGTCGAAGGAGAGTGTGGAGAATCCTGCCGTGCTGGTGGACCCCCTTACTTTCGTCAAACGCTCCTACCCACAATTCCCTCGAGCAACCAGTCTTCCAGAGTCAACCAGCAAGAGTTTCGGCGAAGACCACCTATCCGACGACGATCAAGACGACGACGACGATAACACTCCACAACAGCGTTCTGATTCTGAAGAAAGACACGAAGAAGCGGGCCGCGCTCTCGACCATCCCGATATTGCCGCTCGCCTGCTCAGCCCGTCCCATTCCGCCAAAGCACCGCCCGCCATGTCTTCCATCTCCGCCACGGTGAAGCCGACCGCCGTGGAATCGCTCTCGCGCAATGCATCTCTGACCAACTTGGCCTCCGGGCCTGATGGTGCACGACGCCCCCTGTCTTCGTCCCACAATACGTTGGCGCATACTCCGGGTACTCAGGCCCATGCGACCTCGTCTTCAATTGAAGGCGGCGTGTCGAAGTTCATCATTAATAATAAGACTGGACCACATGCGTTTTCTCGTACCGACTCCGACCCGAATACTCCTTCGTCCTTTCTACCACATTATCACCCACAGACACCACCATCCCCTCGCGGCACCAGCTCCAGAAAGCCACGAGCCTCTCCACCTTCAAGGCCTCTTGGTGCCGAGCCGCATTCCCGTACGCAGCAAAAACTTTGGTTGCAACGCACTGCGGCCCTCAACACGTCGCCGCCTGACGGTCATGGCGTAACTGCAACAGTCTCCCCATCAGCCATAGATCCCGCATTCATTGCTGTGACCCACGCTCGGCCGGGCGCTGGCCCATTTGAACCCGGCAGGGCCCTTGTCAACGGGCCTTCCCGCACAGGTGGGGCCGTGCACGACAATGAAGTCAAGCATATCCGCAAAGCGTACGAGAAGACAGCGTTGGAACTCACAGTCGTTCGAAGGTTCCAGTCTCCCACGGGTGACAGCTTCAACCGGTTGAACATGATTCTTACTGATCTCAAAGGTGGTGCTGCCAGCTCCAGCGTAGGACAACGCGCATCACTTGGCAAGCCGATCAAGTCAGCACCAGCACTGACCCTCCTACAAGAAGGCCCAGGTCGCCATAGCGCTAGCCCAGAGCCCAGACAGCTCATCGGCAAGAGGGATCACGACATGCACACCTCAGTCTCCCAGGCCTATCTCCAAGATCCAGATGATCTTGTGAGCGAATCTGACGCGGCTCAGGGACACAAGTCTCAACACCCGTCCCATCGCATACTCTCCACATCTGACGAACCCGTCCATGGCAGTTCAGCTCCGGAGGACATCACCGAAGACACCCTTCGTGTCAATGAAGCGGAGATGATGATCCGTCGCATGTGGGAAAGTCGCGAAGTGGCCACCGCAGGCTAATTGTACAACACCTCCCCTCCACCACCCTCTGTTCACTATGTACCGCTGTCATTTATTTATGTTCCCGTTTATTCGTTATTAGCAACCATGGCGTTCGGTTCCACTCGATGTAGCGCTAAAGGTCGTTTCGGAGTCAATTGTTTCTTTTGCGTAAACGGCGTCATGATGAGATATCACCCTGGGATGTTTTATGCTGCTGTAGCTTATGCCTTTTTTCTTCTAATTGCTTTTTCTTCTCGCTCCTACCCTTCAGCCTCCTTCTACCAGCCTCATTCTCTGTCTATTTTGTGTGCTACGATTATAGATACTCTTTACGTAATAGTGTAATCAATTTAGTGACAACCACCTCTTCTGCGCTTATATCGCCTTACGTCGGCTATGTTTCATGATTTCTCAACCAGCAACTGACTTGCAGAGAATAACCAGTTAATCTTAAGTAGAGAAAATAAAGGTAAGGGTAATATTATTCGTCTCAGATAAACCATACAATACACACATACATACAGTTACCCAAAATCATAAGAAAATAAATAAGTCCAAGTCTATCCCGCTCGTTAAATCTCTTTCTTTCGTTCTTCTCATCGCTCTTCCTGTCTATAAGAAAAACAAATATATCATTGATCCACATAAAAGTATATTAGCAGGGGGTATGCATACACATCCCTACTTCAATTGGCAATCATAGTCGTAGAAAAATTCAAGTAGGAGAGTGTGTATGCTCAAGCAACTTTTCCGCGTTCTCGGTTGCCTCGGCCGCGAGCAGCGCCTCTACCGCCGCGACGGGAGCTGCCACTAGTTGTGTCTGGGTGGTTACCATTAGCTTGTGGCCGCTGTGGTTGTTGCTCGCGCCGAGGAGCGGAAGGTGTCTTCTTCTGCTGCTGCTGCTGTTGCCGCTGGTCCTTCCGCGGAGGTTGTGAAGGTGGTGGTGGTTGTGGTTGTGATGATTGTGGAGTAGAAGTGTCAATGGTACCGTTGGGGCCGTCGCCTTTTCCGCGCCTCTTACGCTGCTGGTGACCCTGGCCTTTGCCGCGGCCACGGTTACCTCGGCCGTCTCTGGCTTCTTGGGCAGTAGTGTCTGGGGCAGAGCCTGGATCTGGGAGTCCTTGGACACGTCTGCTTTCTTTGTCCCACCATTCTTGGAACTGTTGCTCCAGTTGAATGTCTTCGAGATTGTGCTTCGCTGTGGCGGCTTCGTGCAGTTCTTCTTTCTCGGTTTGTTGTTGCATGAGGATGGTGGCTAGTGAAAGTGAGTTGGCTGATGGAGTATGGAAGCTCGTTTGGTAGGGTTCTGGTCGTGGTATGTGACGGATGGATTGGATGGGGGGTTGAGGATTTGCTGAGGGGTTGGAAGTAGATGGTGCAGCGGTTGATGGCACTGGAAGTGAGGGCTTAGATGGTGTTTGGACCTTGTTGGGGGTACTGCGACCTTGGCCTTGAATAGGTGTGGTCTTTGGTTTTGTACCAGGTGGCGGGGTGCCAGCAACCGTTTGACGGAGAGTCATCGAGGGCTTTGGAGTGGACCTGGCGGATCCTTCGGACGGACTTGCTTGCTGCTCGTTGACGTGGGCGGGACTGCTCGTGCTCGGAAGCTTCCAGGGGTTCTGGGGTCCTTCCTTCGCCTTTTGTTGAGCAGCAAGCATATCCTGCATCTGCTGCTGCTGGATCTTCTTCCGTTCCTTCTGAGATAGCTTGGAAGTAGCATTGTTGTTCTCACGGCGAGCCCCCATTCCCAAGCTAAGGTTCGATACCCGGTTTTCCGAAGCTTCGCTCATGATATCTTTGAGACTCTTCTTGGACGAGGATAAAGCCG